CACAGTGGCTCACGCCTATAATCCCAGCACTTTGGGAGAGGGAGGCAGGTGGATTGCTTGAGGCCAGGAGTTTGAGGCCAGCCTGGCCAACATGGTGAAACCCCACCTCCACAAAAAATACAAAAATTAGCTGCTCATGGTGGGGCACACCTGTAATCTCAGCTACTCGAGAAGCTGAGGCATGAGAATCACTTGAACCCACGAAGTGGAGGTTGAAGTGAGCTGAGATCATGTCACTGCACTCCAGCCTGGGTGACAGAGTGAGGCTCCATCTCCAAAAAAAAAAGAATGTCAGGATCAAGTATCAACAAAGGGAGGTGCCCTACGTTACTGCACACAAAGCAAGTGCTTGCCAACAACCGAGTACATGGTTTGGTGGTCCTCAAGTGATGTCTTATGCACTTTATGCTTCATGGGATTGGTTAATGATATAAGGGTATCTTCCTGTGTTTCCTCACGCTTTCAGAAACTGTTGGAGATTTTGCATCCCTGTGCAGTGGGTTGCTATGATTTTTCCCACATGAGGTAATGAGATGTATGGTGTTGCTTAGTGTTTTTGTGCAGAATGTTTTCAGGAATGGATTACTGATGTTAATCAGAATATGCCTATGTGCTAACCCCCAGAGGAGTGGCAGGCACAGCAAATGCTCAATGTGTTGGCTATTACAAGTAGCAGTAGTAGTTCCTACTTTTAAGAACTGATAGACCAGATATAAACTCAAGGCTACAAAGAGGTGAGAGAAGAAATTGGCGCTCCTCACCTGGCTGTCTAGAATGTTGCCAGCTGCCCGGGAGATGATGGACAAATTACAAGGTTGTAGGAAGTGGTTTGAAATAATTTGATTAAGGCATAATTTTTATAATTTAGAATGATAATTAAGGGGTATAAACTTTTCTTCTTTTTTGAGACAAAGTCTTGCTCTGTTGCCCAGGCTGGGGTGCAGTGGCATGATCTCAGCTTACTGCAACCTCTGTCCCCTGTGTTCAAGTGATTCTCATGCCTCAGTGTCCCACATAGCTGGGATTCGAGGTGTGCACCACCATGTCCAGCTAATTTTTGTATTTTTTAGTACAGATGTTGTTTCACTATGTTGGCCAGCTTGGTCTGGAACTCCTAACCTCAGGTAATCTGACCCCCTCAGCTTCCCAAAGTGTTGGGATTACAGGCTTGAGCCGCCACGTCCGACTAGATATAAACTTTCTTAACCACCAAGGCAGAGAACCCTAGCCACAAGTCCCCCACATCAGTAGTCTTATCATCTCCCACTGTCCCGCCCACCCTTCCTCAATCAGGGGTCTTTCTGACCAGCAGACTCTTCTCCCTACCCACTTCCCACCTCACCCCGTGCCATCCAAACCCAGGTCAGCACTGCTAGACAAAAATACAGGTGAGGCTTGTGTTATAAGCCAAGGGACCCAGTTCTGTTTTCTTTTGGCAAAAAAAAAAAAAAAAAAAAAAAAACCACTGGTGAGCTATTAGTAACATCTATCTAGGGTGGTGCTTCTGAGACTCTTGAGAATCCACTAACATTGTCCAGATTCTATTTGCCAAATTGGAGAGAAGAAAATGCTTCTTTCGTAGATGCTGGTGAAACAACAATGAGGAGAGCCTGGGAGAATGTGAGAACAGGCACTAACACATCGATGGCTGGGAAGCACACCAGGACAGGCTCTCCACGGGCAACACGGAAATACTCATCCGAAGTCCTAAGAGCCTCTCTACTCTTCATCCCAGCAGTGCTGCTTCCAGAACTGTAGGTGGACAAAATAAGAGTGTGCAGAGCAGCACAGCCAAAGAACACATTCTCAGATATATCAAAATGGGATTATCCAGTTCATACTATTTTATAACCTCCACAACATGATGATAATGGTTCACCCCTTCGTGTCATTTTCTAATCTGTGCTACGTAATTTCAAGTGCCTTTTTATTGAATAAGACTTATTAAAATTGATACAAGTAACGTTGTTGGATATGTTCTATTTTTTTTGAGACGGAGTTTCGCTCTTGTTACCCAGGCTGGAGTGCAATGGCGCCATCTCGACTCATCACAACCTCCGCCTCCTGGGTTCAGGCAATTCTCCAGCCTCAGCCTCCTGAGTACCTGGGATTACAGGCACACGCCACCATGCCCAGCTAATTTTTTGTATTTTTAGTAGAGACGGGGTTTCACCGTGTTGACCAGGATGGTCTCGATCTCTTGACTTCGTGATCCACCCTCCTCGGCCTCCCAAAGTGCTGGGATTACAGGCGTGAGCCACCGCGCCCAGCCCATTTTCTATTTTTAATAGGAAAAACTGGAAGCAACCTAAATGTCTAACAACTGGGGACTGGTTAAAGCCGTACGATGGGACGCTCCCAGTTCTGTGTACATGAGCGCGCATGCGCACACAATGAGGAGGCCGCATCAAAGTGAACAAGGCAGTTTGCTCATAGATACCTTTTTTCCATTTTGGTTATATTTATTGCCACTTTTTCTACAATAACCATATGCTACTTAAAACATCTTAATTATTAACTTCCTTCACCCACATTGATAGCCAGAGAGAATGCCCAGAAGAGTGTGTGTGTGTACACTGCAAGGTGTGCAACCATCATAGATGAAATGGCAGCATCTGAGGTGAGCCCTGGGGCTAACATATCTGACTCCACGTCATGCCAATCCGTGGGGATGTGGAGGAGGAGCTGGGGAGGCTCCTTAGCCCTGTCAGTTACACATTTCAGACATAGTTCCTCATTTGAATCGGAAATATGAACACCCACACTCACCCAGGGTGTGTAAACACATCATTGGATCTGTCTACTCACATTTTTGGCAAGAAACAGTGGTGGCAAGATTGGGGTCATTGACCCAGATTCTGGTATCTGAGTGGTTCTTAGAAAGCAACCAAATTGAGGTTTTCAAAAGGCCGTAATCCCAAAGTAACCAGTGTTGCACTCCCAGAAATGGGGGAGTTGGTGGGGATACCTAAGTCACACCAAGACACAAACTTTCCTTTACTCTTCAGCTCTGCAGTGACACCGAGTTCATTTTTACTCTGCTGAATATTTCCTTGTTAAGAGACTTCCCGGATTTATAAAGCAAATCCACTGTGCCAGGACTCTGGCTTTCTCTATCCTTTCAGGACAGACTCCAGGAACTTCTCGAAGGCCTTTGCCAGTTAGATCTTGAAGACTACAGGCAACTGCTCCGACCACAAAAGCTCTCCTCTGAGCCTGATGTGGCCTCAAAGGGCCGGTTCCTGAGACCATAGGGAGGAACTTAAGAAAGTGAAAGGGAAAGGTCCTACCTAGGCTTCTATATATTGAACCACGAGACAGGGCTCAGCCAGTCAAGGACTTCCTGGAAGGGACTCCATTGGAGCTACTCATGACCAAAATGGCAGCCTCCCCAGATCACAGGGAGAAATGAGACCAGGAACAGAGGCTCTCATTATTAGCAATGCCTTGATTTACACCCTATTCTACTGGAGGAGTTCTCTACTGTTATCACAGAAAGCCAAAAATATCTCAAACAATTCCCAGAGTTTCAATAAAGCTCCAAGATTTGTAGGCACACATTTTTCTCAGCACACATTTACACATATTTTCACTTCCTTTTTATTCTTAAACTATTTTTTATTCAAAGAGAATCTTGAAAATTCAGTCCTAAGAAATTATAGTAAAAATTCATTGGCCAGGTACAGTGGCTCACACTTGTAATCCCAGCACTTTGGGAGGCTCAGGTGGGAGGATCACTTGAGCTCAGGAGTTTGAGACCAGCTGGGTAACATAGTGAGACCCTGTCTCTAATATATATTCATCATATATATATATAAAATTCATGCCGTGGTTTAAATGAGGTTTTAAATTTTCTATTATGTAGCAATATATCACCTGATGTTGAAGAATGAATGAGGAAGCATTCCTGGAGCTTATACTGATATTTTACAAGCTCCCGTCTTATATTTGTAATGATGGCAGTCACCGGGAGGCCCAAGTTCAACCTCACCTGCGTCCTTTATTCCTTAATCTAATTTACCGACCTCAAACACAAACCTATCTTAAATGCAGCAAAGGGAGTCAAACCCGCACGGCTTCTTGGAGCACTCTATTAAAAAAATACAAAACCTGTACCAATCTCGCGAAACCTGTACTAGCCTCACATCAAGTTCTTACATGAAGAAACCAGGTTATTTACTACGTTCTATATTTCCAGGGCCCACAGAGCACTTCCTGGCTGGCACAGGTCGCTGGGACGTGACGGTCCCTTCCCCCAACCGGAACAACTCAAAATTTACACACATCCCTGGAACAACAGCATCCTGCCGTTGTCCACCGCCCACAAGCGATGATCTGGGGCGCGGGAGTGTCCAGTCTCCGTGGGGGCGCAAATGCCTGGCGACTTTCTCTGGGACGTCTAAAAGAAATCTGGGCGCTTTCACTTTCGCATTAATGCTCTTCAACTTTAGGAGAGGTGGAAGGCAGTGCGCGGACGGGGAAAAAGGGGATCTCGTGGGAAATTCGGACCTGAAAGCACTTTTCTTGCACCTTCTCCCTGGACGGGACGAGGAGGTAGAGGGCAAGCCTGGAGAGAAAAGATCTCTTCCACGCCCTGCCTGAGTGTCCTCAAGAACCCCGGCAAAGACCCCAGGGCGCACGGCGAGCCATGTTGGACCTGTCGCCGGGGCTCGGCTCCGGGTCGCTCCTTTTTCCGCCTTCACGGCCAGCACCGGGCTTATCCTCCAGGATCAGGAGGCTCCCGGATCCGGGACACGCTCACGTGCCGAGGGCAAAGTTGATTCCAGGAGGGAAAGGCCAACGCGCCCGACACGGCCCGCGCGGAAGCCGGACAGTCCCCGGGACCCGGAGCCACCTGCTCGTTTTGATTTCGCCGCCCCCGCCCTCTCCGCACCCTCGCAACCTCGCACCCTGCGTCCGTCCGCCGCATCCCCGCCCGGATTCGGCTGGCTAGCTAGCTCACCACTCCGCGCCACCCACGTCCATAGCCCGGCACTCACCTGCCCCGCGCGGCAGGCGCGCGGCACCCAGCAGCAGGACCCCTAGCAGTGAGATCGGGACCCCGCAGTTCAGGCCGGCCATGGCTTCGGGACGCCTCGGCCTCGGTGGGGAAAGCGACTGTGACCGGTGGCTCGGAGCGGCGGCCGCAGGCGCCCTAGCCAGGCGCAGCCGCGCTCCGCCCCGCCTCGCTCACCTGCGCGCAGGCGGACCGGCCCGACCCCGCCCTGCGCAGCAGGAGCGCGAGCTGACCTGGCGCGTCCCTCCTCACTCTCCTCCTCCCCTTCCTGCCTCAGCCACCGCCTCTCCTACCCAGAGCGCAGGGCTCCTGGGGTCGGGTTGCTGGGTCTCCTCTACTCCCCATTGTGGCGTTGGGGCGGACTTGTCCCCTTCTTTCCCGGCTTAATCCTCCTTCCCAAGTCTGAGAATGATCAGGTCTCTTTGTCCAGAGTCACGAAGGTCTCCCATAGAGGAAGCCAGACTACCTTCCCTTTTCTGTCCAGGAGACAAAGGCGCCTCGTTTTGGCGGAGAATCATATTTGGGGACCACCCAAGCCCTCGATCCTCTGCTACCTGACTTGGCTAGAGGTCTGCTGGACTTTAAAGCCAGTGGTGCTACAGCTACTGTTTGCAGGAGAGTGAGCCTGCAGCCTACTCCACACAGATCACCTGCAGTATTTCCAGACAGATAACCTGGGTCCCCAGGTAGCTAGTAAATTAGAGGCAGATACACCCGTTTGTCGAATTGTGAGTAGAGTAGTATGTGTCCCTTCACTGAGCTGTGGATGGAGTAGTATGTACCCTTCTCGAGTAGTATTATAAATGGAGTAGTGTGTGCAGTGTGGGTGTGAAGCATTCAGGTTAAACGTTGGGCTGTCAAAATGAATGGAAAATGACTGACCCTGGACTCCTTTTCCTCCTCCCAGCAGCAGGAGTGCCACCTGTCTGTCTTCAGAGGCCCTGTAGGTTCTCCTTCCACCCTGCAGGCCATACACCAAGCCCAGGCCACAAGGAAAGATTGTGGATGGTTCAGGATTTCTTAGCTGGCAGACCAGGGTTCTGCCAAAAGGACTCCCTGGGACTACTTGTGTTCATGGGTAGGCAGAAGCTGGGCCAGGGTCACCTAGAGCAACCTGGGAGACTTGGGACAGGAACCAAAACATATGCCACAGCCTCCGTTTACACTCTAGTCCCAAAGACACAAACTTTCCCTTACTCTTCTGCTTAATTCTTGGGGGGGAGGGGGGCGGGGAAACTGAGCCTCTCCAGGCTTCCTCAATCGTTTTTGTGAACAGGGGTGGGAAATCATCTCCTAGGAGTTTCACACCTTCCTTTTCCGTGTCCTTAATCATGAGAGTAGAGCTAGCTCTGCCCTCTGGAAGTCCACAGTCCATCAAGGGAAGCAGAACTTGGAACATGACCCTGCCCACACCCCCACTTCTGGGAGGGCTTGTAGCGTGAGCCAGAGGGGACCTTAGATTATCTTCTAGTCCACTGCTGTCCTCGTGCAGACAGACAGGAAAACTGAGAACTACAGGGAAGGGAGAGGATGAGAAACAGAGGGATGCTCTTGGTTCTCCCCACTGAATCAAGGACAAATTCACCAAGAGAAAGAAATCTTGACGAAAGTCTAAACACTCTTTAAAAATATCTATGCTGATCAGGAGGGTGAAAGCAGATTTGTCTTTTCTCCTAATTCTAAGGAGGCATATATACCCCAGCATCTTTTCCTAGCATCTGTTAACACGTGTTTTTCCCACATAGATTAACAACCATCACAGTACTAGAATGGCAGTGTATTGAATGCAAAATATCAGAAATGTTGCTTGACAAGTTAAGCCTAAGGAGCAAGTTATTTCATTACTATTTTGTCTCTCCAAAGTTTGCTTAACTGTCTTTCTTGGGATAGTTGACACCAGCTAACTGAAAATGGAATAAGAGTCACTAATTCCCAAATATGCAGTATTAGTGATGGTTCCATAAAGTAGCAGCAAAGAGAAAGAAGTAAGAAAAGTAGGGAGGCACTTCAGTGCCCTTCGCGTGACAACCCAACTGCATAATTGAAGTAAAGATGTCCTGACGTACTGCCCTGGTCCTCCAAGTGGCTGTGAAAAAGCATTGCCAAGGATGGACATGTTTGTCTTTACAAACAGGGCTGAAGGGAAGGAGGAAATTTTAAAAGGTTATTTCTGAACTGGAAAGCAATGTAGGTAACTATAATCTAGTGCTAGAGAAAAATGACAGATTGAAAGGTGAGTTTTCACTGAGTGTGGTGGCTCATGCTTGTAATCCCAGCACAAGGGAGGCCAAGGTGGGTGAACAACATGAGGTCAGGAGTTTAAGACAAGCTTAGCGAACATGGTGAAACCCGTCTCTACTAAAAATACAAAACTTAGCCAGGCGTGGTGACAGGCGCTTGTAGTCCCAGCTACTCCGGAGGCTGAAACAGGAGAAACACTTGAACCCACGAGACGGAGGTTGCAGTGAGCTGAGATAGCACCATTGCACTCCAGCCTGGATGACAAAGTGAGACTCTACCTCAAAAAAAAAAAAAAAAAAAGAAAGATGAGTCTTAAAACAGACTGTCCCATCTAATTTTGACCTCTTCTGAAACCCTGCAAAGGCTACAAAACAGGAATTAAAAGAAAAATACATAAGCCCATACAGGTGGGGAGAACAGAGAGAAGACAACCACAAAATCACCCCGTAGACTTGCAGCTGCCTTGGGAGCCTAGAGATGGAAGAACCCTAAGCCAGTAGTGGGGAAAATGGAAAATAACATGATTAACACGGAAATCCTCAAAAATATCCTCGGAAAATGGCAGCACAAGGTATTCTGGAACTGGAGGGTGAAAGAGGAGTTAAAACAAGAAAGGCTCGGAGAAAGTTTGAGAAGACCTATGGTTAGATCCCGGAACCTATCCACCATTACCCATCTGGGCAACAACCCCTTGCCTATCCAGCTTCTAATGTCATTCTTAAGAAATCCAAAACCATTCTCATTTTTGTTTTTTCTGTGAGACCGTTTTCTTGCCTCTAATGCTGTAGAATCTTCTTTTTGTTCATTGGTTTCTGAAATTTCATCATCATGTGCCTTGAGGTGAGTCTGACTATACTATCCAACTTTAGATCTTGATAAATTAGAGGGTTGGTAAGTTTAACAACTTTAGTGATGTTTTCTTGAGAAATTAAAACCTAGGGATGAGGGCTGAGGGATGCCAGGCATAGCTGAAGGCATAGGAAACATTGTAAAAGTAGGTGAATAAAGGGAAGATATGCATTCTGAATGCTGAGATCCCCAGCTGTCTGGCCCCAACCTGCCTCCAAGGATGAGACAAAAGGGCTTTGTTATCCATATTGGGGATGGAAAGAGTCTTCTTTTGGGGAATCTGACCAGCCCAGGAGGAAAGACCCAAACATATGAACATATGACTCTCATAAACAGGCTAAACCAGCTTCCTACCATGAGGCTTTCAGTTGATTAAGCCTCGCCAACTTAGCTTTTTAATATCTCACTTTTAAAAAATTCATATTATTATTATTATTTTTGAAATGAGGTGTTGCTCTGTCACCCAGGCTGGAGTGCAGTGGCATGATCTTGGCTTACTGCAACCTCTACCTCCTGGGTTCAACCGATTCTCTGCCTCAGGACTACAGGCACCTGCCACCATGCCCAGCTAAGTTTTGTATTTTTAGTAGAGACAGGATTTCACCATGTTGGTCAGGCTGGTCTTGAACTCCTGACCTCATGTGATCTGCCCACCTCAGCCTCCCAAAGTGCTAGAATTACAGGCATGAGCCACCGCACCTGGCCAAGAGCTCACTTTTAAATATGAGCAACCAGGATTTCAGGATATCTGTGGAGAGCTTCTAACATAATAGAGTCTAAGCCAACCAAGTAATCAAACTAAAAAAAAAAAAAAAAAAAAGCAGCAGCAACCCAAAAGAGACCATACAAGAAGAAGAAAATAGATGGAAGCAAAACAAAACAATTACCAACTCTCTTAGAGTAATGTAGGCAACTATAATTTGGTGCCAGACAACATTCTCTCTATGAAGCAGTAACAGCACGCCATAAAACAACAAAACAAAACAAAAACAAACAAACACGATTCAGGGAACCAAAAAAGAATTCTTGGAAATGAAAAAAAGTGATTGTAGATTAAAAAATAAATAAATAAATAGAAGAATTAGAGGTGCTCCCAGAAAGTAAAGCAAAAAGACAAAGAGATAAAAAAAGTGTGAAGGAAAAGTTAAGGAAACTGGAGGTCCAGTTCAGAAGAGCCAACATTTGAAAAATGAATTTCCTAGGAAGAGAGAGCAGGTGAAACAGAGGAGAAGACATCATCAATAACATAGCTCAAGAAATTCCCCAGGCCAGAGTGATGCAAGTTTCCAGATTAAAGGACTCATGGAGTGTCCTGCACAATGGGTAATATAGGCAGACTCACATTAAGGAACACCACAGTGAAATATCAGAAACCAATGAACAAAGAGAAGATTCTAGGCTGGGTGTGGTGGCTCATGCCTGTAATCCCAAATAGTCAGAAGGCTAAGACATGAGCATCACTTGAACTTGGGAGGTGGAGGTTGCAGTGAGCCAAGATTGTACCGCTGCACTGTAGCCTGGGTGATGGAGTGAGACTGTTTAAAAAAAAAAAACAAAAAAGAAGAATCTTTAGCTTCCAGAGGCAAGAAAAGGGTCTCCCAGAAAGAACAAAAATCAAAGTGGTTTTGGATTTCTCAAGAACAACACTGGAATCTGGAAAACAATGAAGCAATACCTTCAAACTTCTGAAGAGAGAGAACTTCCAAATTAGAATTCTATACCCAGCCAAACTACCAATTAAGCAATGAGGTAGAAAAGGGGCACTTTTTTTTTTTCTTTTGAGACACAGTCTCACTCTGTTGTCCAGGCCGGAGTGCAGTGGCATGGTCTCGGCTCACTGCAACCTCTGCCTCCCATGTTCTAGAGAGTCTCCTGCCTCAGCCTCCCAAGTAGTTGAGATTACAGGTGCCTACTACCACATCCAGCTACTTTTGTATTTTTAGTAGAGATGGGGTTTTACCATTTTTGCTACGCTGGTCTAAAACTCTGACCTCATGATCTGCCCGCCTCAGCCTCCCAAAGTGCTGGGAGTACAGGTGTTAGCTACTGTGCCTGGTCAAAAAAGGACACTTTTAAAAGTTCCAAATCTTAAAAAAAAAAAAATCTCCAAACCC